TTCAGGCAAAGATGTAGGCATGACCGAGAACAGGGAGTCACTTCCCCAGAAACGGGGTGTTCCACATGTGTGGAATGCAACAGGGGCCTGCAATGCCAATGGTTAACAGAGTCAGGAAGAGAAGCACATGAGAGGAGCCAAGAACTCCCAGGACTGAAGCCAGAAGAGGAAAGTGCGTCGACATGGAACAAGAAAGTACCAGGGCAAGCCAACCCAGAGCCTGCTGGAGCTGGCAGAGTGGGTAGCCATCAAGAGCAGCCTGGGGTAGTATGTGTGTGTCAGGGCAGGGCAGAGCTGGCCGCTGCAACCCAAACAGCAACTAGATCAAGACAGAGTGGAGCTAGCTTTCCCAAGGAGAACAGACAGGACAGACAAGAGGGAGATAGGGGATGAAGTGCCACTGAATGATAGGAAATTCAGCAGGACTCGTGGCCAAGGAGAGGTGGGCTGGCCAGCTCTGGGGAGGTGACAGGAACGCCAGGGTCCAGCCCCAAGTACATTTCTGACCTAGAACTAGACTGAAGCTGGGTCATCTCCTCCCACAAGACCAGTACTCACCACCTGTGGGGTCCGCCTTGATGGGCTCAAAGGAGGTAGAAGGGTTGGGTCCAGATGAACTGCTATTGCTGCTGCTGCTGCTGCTGCTGCTACTGTCCAGAAGGGCAGAGGACTGCAGCGGCCGAGTGTCCAGTGCTGTTGGGCCTAGTGGGAGTGAGCTGAGCTCACCACTGTCCTTGCTATCGGGTCCAGGGCTGCCACTCACTGCAACCACATTCCCCAAACCAGCCAGTTAGGGGCAGGAAGCAGGATACTGAAGATGGCCATGCTAGAAATCACGGCCAGGGTGACCACAGTCCTGGTTCCCAGGCCCAAAGAGTTAGGCATTGCCAGTCACCCCTGAAGTAATCTTGAATTAATCACTGAGGAAGGCAGGCACGTGGCACACAGGAGGGAGGTCCACAGACAACATGGCAGCTGTGACCACATTCCAAGTGGACAAACAAAACCCCAGGACCTGGGGGAAAATGCCACTCCATGCCTCTTTAGTCAGAGCTTCCCTAGTAAAAAGGGCTCACTCACTACCACGGCAAGGGGAGGCCAGCTGGCCCACCCCCACAGGGCCCTTTCTGACTCTGAGACTCTGACATTTCACAACTCCAAAGTATTGCTTCTTGGACCCCACAAGTCACCCCATTACCAGCTACCCACTGTGCCTCACCTGTGACCTCAACTGCTGGACAGGCCACCCCCTGGGCTTCAGTGCTACCAGGGACAGGGGTAGAGGTGGTCGCCTGGGGACTGTTTGGGCGTGAGGCGTCCTGGGGGTGGGCCAGGGCAGGCTTGGGCAAAGGTGGAGGGGTAGACACAGCAGGTGGGCCCTGAAGCAAATCTTCAGGTGGTGGCACAGGCACTGCCACAGGCGGTGAGCTCCATGCCTCCTTGTTCACCAGCAGTACCTCAATGGGGCCACTCACACTCTTAAGATGAATCTGGTACTTCTTCTGCCCATTGAGGCCCTGGAGATGGGAGGTAGGGGACAGGTGGAATTGGTAGCAGACTTGGCCATGGGACAGAGCCAGTGTCCTCTCCCATCCAGGCGGCCCGTTCTCTGAGATAACCCCAAGCCCCAGGCCTCCCCCTACCTGCCCCACCCGGGACTTATCAGGCTCCACAGCCAGCACCCGCCCTCAAGCAACCTCGCCTGCTTGAGCTGAGCACCCACCTCTGGGATGGGCACCTCTAGGCTGGTGCCTGATGGGGCACGGATGGCCAGGAGGGTGTCTCCTAGAAAGACAAGGATAGGTTAGAGCCCAGGGGCTCAATCTGAGCTGAGAAAGGGGGGTGAGGTGTGGGGGGGGGGAGTACCTATCCCTGCAAAAATTAATCTCTGATAAACTGGACAGTAGGTCTCACCCAGCCCCTACAATGGATGGGACAGAGAATTAAAACTTTTCTCCTCCCAAGAGCCCAGAGTAAGTAACCATGAAATCTGGGTTTAAACACGTGGAGCAAAAGATTATTGGCCATGGGCATCCCATGCCTTGATGGAGCTGCCCCCTAGGTACAGGTGTTCTGGTCAAGACAGTCTGGGGGATGCAAGACAGAAAAGTTCGTTCCTATATCCATAATGCAAACTCACTACAGGGTAGAAATGGGCACTGTCCCTGCATGTAATGAGAGTGTGTGCGCACGCGCACACACACACATTGCCCCTATGCCTATCACACTTGAGAAGCCAAATCCATGGGACAGTGCAAATGAGAGCTGGCCCAGGGATCCACCCCAGGGTTCTTAAAACCCTCAACAGGTCTGCCTCCACAGGGTCCCAGTGACCCTCAAACCTAGGACTTATCCTTCCTGGCACAGGCCCTGCAGAGACGGAACTCTCCTTGGGCGCTGAGCCCACTGCTGAAGGGCTGTGAATCAGCTTAGCCCACCCCACCCCCCGACCCCTACCCAAGCTCTGCTCACCAGCAAAGCATCTGCAGATGTCCTCATGAGTCACGTAGGCCAAGGTGTGGGGGTTAAGGAGAACTGCCGATAGCCTGCCTATGGTGACGGACGGCAGACCACAGGCCCAGCTCTTTAGCAAAGGCCTGACATACATGACCTCAGAGAAAGTCCTGGAGTCTGGGAGAGAGGCCCGGGCCAAGACCAGTGGGGAAGGAGTTATGGGACCTGGCCAGAAAAAGCAGGACTATCCTCCCAAGATGCATAGCGCCTAGGGCACCACTGAATAAACCCAGCTAGACCAGAGGGCCCCTCACCCACTCCCCAGGAGCAGGGACCACCAGGAGGATATCAGCTGTTCTGCACGTCCTCTGTGACATTCCGGATGCTCTGCTGCACCCACACCTTGTGCTGGTCCAGTTCTCGCTCCCGCTGCTGCAGCTCCTCGATCTCTGCCTTCAGCTCAATCAACTTGTCCGCGATCTCCCGGGTATTGCAACCAGGTCCCACACCCCTGAGCCCAGGGAGTGGGGCTGAAAAGGGCTACCAGGAGCTCTGGGTCCCACAGCCCCTGTGCTCTCCTCCAGTCTCCACCCCACACCCCTTAAACTTCTGGATAGGACTGACCCTCCGGGCATCCCCCCACTCACTTCCACTGGATGCTGTTCTTGGATTTCTTCTCGATCAGCCCTATACCTTCCAGCACATTGGTAATGTCATATATCCGGCGCTTCTGACGCACAGCTAGCGTGTCAGCTGCCTGGCAGACAGAACAGAGCGGAGGATACTCAGGCTCCCTCTTGGAGTTGCCCCAGCTACACTGAGAATTAGCCTAGAAAAGAGGACAGCCCGGGCTTCCGCCCTCCTCCCGGGCTGCACAGCAGCTCAAGACCACGGAGCGGGAAGAGGGCTGCGGGCAGCCTGAAGTTATGTTCTGACTCTTCTCCCCACACCAGCCGGGGAGGCCACGAGGACCTGCACCTGCAGCGCTGAGGCTGGCACAGGGCTGACGACCAATGCCGTTGGCCGAATGAATGAAACAGTCCCTGGCCTCGCTGCCGTGAGAAAGTACACACGGATGGCGGTTTGCTCTCTGAGGGTTCAGCCGGGCCGCCCCAGGAGTTCCCCCTACCGGCCCAGGCCTGGTCCACCATCCCCCACTGTCGCCCCTTAGCCAGGGCCGCACCAGTTTAAGGTCAAGCACGCCGTCCTTGGCCTCCTGCAGAAGCGACACAAACTTGGTGGTGAGAAGTCCCAAGCTCTTCTCGTGCCGGCTTGGGGTGCCCGGGGGCGGCGGCGCCTGCGGCCCGGCCTCCGCCATCGCGCCCGCCCGCCGCCTCCCCTCAGCCAGGCCAGGCCAGGCCGGCGCCGCCGCCACTTCCGCTTCCGTTCCTGGCCGCCCGGGCGCCGGCGCCAGCGTCGCTACTTCCGCTTCCGCCCCTCCCCTCCCAGGGAACCTGGCGCAATTCCTCTCTGCGTATACGGCCGCAAAACTTCCGGGGACGATTAGCAAATGTCCAACTGCCTAAGAGAACGAAAACAACCCGGGATTTCCTGAGCCGCTACCTTCTCCTGAAGGAAGAAGACAGGGGAAGTCGGTGGCAGCCCAGGCAGTCGTAGAGCAGGGAGGCCACCAGAATCTTCTTAGGTGGCCATCCTGCCTCAACTCCTACCACTTCGGAGCCCCCACAGAGACCACTGTCCCTGATGAACATAGTGTATTCCCCCAACCCTGTCCTGGAGGCCACCCCACTGTCTTGGCCCTCATTTCTTGCCAAAGAGCAAGCAATGCATACATCTGCTTTGTGCAAAACCTGTCTCCCCTCCCCTGCTCCTAGCCGTGTCACGGCACTGGGCAGAGGCCATGAAATAACCAGCTCAGCCTATGTAATTTTGTCTAATGAGTGTAAAATGTAGGAAAGCACTTAGAGCAATTCCTGGCATGTAGGAAGGATTATGTGTTTGGTATTATTTTATTTTTAATATTGTTATTATTGTTACTATTTTTAGGTAAAATTCTCAAAGAAACAAACTTTGAAATAGGGATCTGCCTGCAGGAAATTTATCAAGACACTCTCTTATAAGGGAATTGGGCAGGGGGCATTAAACTACCATGCAGTTACAATGGCAGCCTCTACCCATCCTACTAGGGGCTATGAAACTGGGGTGAGCCTTCCAAAGTATGCAACATCCAGGCAAGGATACCAGCACTTTGTTCCCCAACACTGACAGAGACTCACTCTACATGCCTGGCACCTAGAGAGCCAGTGCCTTCATCCTGAAGGGTGGATTCAGATATTGTATCCAAGTTTATCTATTTTTTTTTTCTTTAGATTTATTCATGCATACAGAACTGGGGTACCAGCCAGAGGCGCAGGGGCAGTGAGAGGATTCACCAGAGACAGAGTAGGGAGCAGAACAGTCCGACTGAGGAAGTACACTGCTGAGGGGAGCAGCAGGTGGGTCAGGAGAGGTCTGCTGGCCATGTGGATCAACTCTAGGGCCAGGGATTGAACTCACACTGAAGCAGCTGTAGCTCACTTGCAGTGCTGCATCCCAACCTGTTGTGCCACCAGGGAGGGCCCCAAGTCTATCGCTTTATTACTACCCGGTAGGCCCTTCTGTGCACCCCCACCCCAGCTCTCCAGATAATAGGCTTCAGAGGTCTCCTAACCTCTGTCGCAGGCTTGTTCCCAACAGCCTGTGGTCTCTCCCTGCCCTGCAGAAGTGCACACCCTGCTCAGGCCCGTTTGCATTCCTTGCTGTTACTGTCTGCATTCATATCCTACATCCTACCAGAGTGGACCTGGTTGGGACTGGGACTATCCTGAGCACTAAGAGTTCTGGGGTGGGCTGGTCAAGACTCAGTGATCACAGGGAGCACAACCCCCTCCCCCCAAGGAAGTGGCGCACAGCCCTCCACACCCCATCCCACAGTACAGATGTTCTTTCCTGTTGGGAATAAAGTGCCAGAGACTCAGCTTCCTTCCTTTCTGCCTGCGGCCTTAGGGAGGGAGAGACTTGGAGGGAGGAAGGGGTCCTGGGTACAAAGGTGGGACAGAAGCTTCCTTGGAAGAGGAGGTGTAGGCCAGAGCTCTGAGAACCAGCGAGGGAGAGCCAGCTCTGCTGCCAGAAGGCTGGGGGAGAGGGCCAATCTCAAGGCCAAGGCTGCGGGGGAGGGAGAGCCGAAAGCCTGGTCAAGACTGGTGAGTTCCAGACCAGACTATCCTTTGCAACTCCGAGGAATGGGATCCAGTGGAGGCCTGTGTCTGCCCTGGCTTACTTGTCATCTGCATGGGCAAAACTGAGAAATCAGAAGGTGAAAGCTTCCCAGGTGCCTCCCTCTCATTTCCTGAGGGGGCTGGGCCAAAATCTCCCTCCGCATCCGCATCCTCGGAAGGGCCTAGACTCAGGCTGCCGCTCACAGAAACATCCGCTCTGTCTGCTCCAACCCAGACCTACCTCAGCTCCGGTTCCTCCAGGGCCTGCCATGGATGCCGCAGCCAAGGACAACATGCAGCCTGAACTTGCCCCTGGTATGAGCCCTTCTGGTTGGACTCGGGAAGGGACGGTGATGAGAAAGATGGGGATGGTGGGGTTCGGTCTAGCTTGAGCTCCATGGGGACCTCAAGAGGAGTTAACTGCCCTGGGGGACAGGCTGAGGAGTAGGGAGGGGAGCATTTCGGTGGCTGCTTCCTGCAGGCCCTCCCTACTGACTCTGCTGCTCAGGCTCTTCCTGCCCAGGGCCTGAGTGGCCAGAGCAGGAGAGGGCAGAGCAATTGGCCCGGGGTGCTGCGCTCAAGTGGGCATCAGGCGTCTTCTACCAGCCGGAGCAGCTGGCCAGGCTGGGCCAGTACCGAAGCCGTGAGGTGCAGCGCACCTGCTCCCTGGAAGCACGGATCAAGGTGGGCACAGGCAGGGGCAGGTGCAGGAGGGAGGGCCACAGGGACTGATCTGGCCTCACTGGCTGCCTCCCTCCCCCAGTCAGTGGTACAGTCATACCTGGAGGGTGTGAAGACTGGTGTGTGGCAACTGGCCTGGGCCCTAGAGGCGGTGCAGGGAGCCCGGGAGACCCTGGGCCAGGCCCAAGGGTTGCTCCAGGACATGGCTGAGGCTGCCCAGACTCTGGAGCCCCTGCGGGAGCAAGTTGCCCAGCACAAGCAACTGCAGGCCCTGTCTCAGCTACTGCCCCGGCTGCGGGAAGGTAAGTATACAGGTACTGGGCCTCAGCCTGCCAGAAGTTAGCAAACCCCCTGATCACTGGGCTGGGGTACTACGGCAAGATGGCATGAGGGACACACCAGGGACCTCCCAGAGTCCAGTTACAGAGGAAGCAGGGTATAAGTCCACTCACTCTGAGGCTCCCGATCTCTGAGTTGGGACTGACAGTCAAGTGACTCTGGCCTCCGCTGGCTGTTAACATATTGAACTATTTCCCTAACTGGGCCAGTGAATGTTCTCTCACGTGCGCCTCCCCCCACTGCCTCCATGCTTTCCCTCTAGGATCCCTGACTTCCTCAAGAGTTTACACCTGGCTCACCAGGCTTCTAGAACCTTCCTTAGGTCCTTTCAGATCTGTCAATGCACTACTGTAAATTTTCTTTTAGTATTTTACACATCACCCCAGCCCCAGGGCCTTGGCATCACTGGGCCCACAGCACGGTGGGATGAGTGAGATCCGGGGCTAGCTTCTCTATACCCTCCTTAGTGCCAGCTGCAGTGACCCACGCACAGGCCTTGATTGATGCCCAGCGCCTCCTGGAGGCATATGTGAGCCTGAGGGAACTGGAACAGCTTCAAGAGGAGACCCGGGCACCTCTGGGAGGTCTGGAGCTGCCAGTCTTCGAGGGGTTGGGACCTCTGGCTGAGGCACTAGGCCAGGCGGTGGAGGCAGCTGCAGGGGCTGCAGGCCAGCTGGCGCGGGAGGACCCGGCCTTGCTGGTGGCTGCTGTGCGAGTGGCGGAGGTGGAGGCTGGGCGCCCCACCTGTCAGGGGCGGGCCCCCCGGGACTGGCGACTGCGCTGTTTGCGGGCATTACAGGAGGGCCTGGAGAGGGTCCACTTTGGGACACCCCTGCTGCCCGGGCCCGGAGCCGTAGCAGGGTGGCTGGAGAATCTTCAGGTGGCCCTGCCGGCTGAGCTGGCCACCGCCGAGGCACTCGTAGCTCCCTGCTGCCCACCACACTACAGAGTGGTCCGGCTGTGGGCCCACACCCTGCACAGGGGCCTGCGTTGCCGCCTGCAGCAGCTCCTGGAAGGGCCGGAGCTCGGAGCTGCTGATGCCTTCACCTTGCTGCACTGGGCACTAAATGTGTACCTGGGGTAAGTGTCGTGGGGCAGCGGGTAGTGGGCGGATCGGAGGCTGGGAGCGCAGAGTGATACTGGGCCACCCATCTCCAGCCCAGAAATGATGGGGAGCCTGGAATTGGGGCCTGAGGCAGATGTGTCCCAGCTAGAGCCCCTCCTGACCCTGGAGAACATTGAGCAGCTGGAGGCAACATATGTGGCGAAAGTCCAGGTGAGCAGTTGGGGTTTCGGCCCAGAACTCTGCCCACCGGCTTCATAGAGCCCCATGTCGACCTGTCTTTAGCAGGACAAGTGCTGTGTTACACTCTCGCCCCCTCCCCCAGGCAAGTGTGGCCCAGTGGCTGCAGAAGGCACTGGATGGGGAGGTAGCTGAGTGGGGCCGAGAGCAGGAGCCAGACACGGACCCAACTGGCTTCTACCATTCACCGATGCCTGCCATTGTGCTGCAGGTGTGTGGGGAGTGGCGAGGCGCATGGCAGCACCCATCGGGAAAGGGGAAGGCGGCAGGGTTAGGACGCTGCTGATGACTGTCCACCCCCGCCTGTAGATCCTGGAAGAGAACATTCGCGTGACCTGCCTGGTCAGTGAGTCACTGCAGCGGCGGGTGCATGGCATGGCGCTCTCCGAACTGGGCGCGTTTCTGAGGAGGTATGCCAAGGCCCTGGCCCACTCCCAGCCCCTGACCCTGCTCTGGGGGCAGCTGGAATGAACGGGAGTTTTGAGTGAAGCGCGTGCCAGTGGGCAAGGGGTCTTTCAACAGGGCCTTGGGTAGCTTGGAGGTGGGGCAGGAACACCAGGGATGGGGTGATGGGGACATCAGAGTGACAGCAGACACAAGAACTACCTTTGCCCTTTGCAGCTTCAGCGATGCTTTGATTAGATTCTCCCGAGATCACCTCAGGGGGGAAGCACCAGCACCTCACTATGTACCCTACCTACTGGCTGCCCTCAACCACCAATCAGCACTCAGGTACCAGGAGGCCCCCACAGAACCCCACTTCCACTAACCCTGGGCTGAACACCTACCGGGTGGGATCCAGCCCACACTAGGTCACTTGGATTGACATATCCCTGGGGCTTCAACCCCAGTTCTACTAATCACTAGCTGTGTGACCTGTGGCAAGTTGCCTTGTAATTCTGAATCTTACTTTTCTCGTTAGAATTACATGGGCAATAATGGGGCATTCTGAGAATTTTTTCATTCAACAAATACCAGCGTCCTGCTCTGTGCCAAGTAAGATCTAGAGCCACAGCTGCACACAAAGCAGAAAACAAATTCCCTTCCTCTTGGGCCTGATGTTCTTTGGGATTGGGCAGAGAAGGCACATAAATTGGTCATTTTTACCCCTTCCTCTCCTTTTACCGATGAGGAAATAGAAACAAAAGACTCGCTCAAGGTCACACCGCCCATTAGAGACAGGTGAGCTGAGCCTAACACTCCCAGCCTCCATCCACCCCCCCACAGAGCTGTGTGGGGAGCCGCCCTACCTGCCCCCGCCCGTTACACACACGTGCCACTAGGTGGCGTAAGAGTGGCCGGACAAGGAAGGGCCCGGCGGGCCTTGGCCTTGGTCCTGAAGCCGTATTTTTTTGGTGGGTCCAGCTCCTCCGTGTCCGCCCTGCAGCTCGACGGGTTGGCTTCAGGGACCTTGGCTCCGGTGGAGGCAGCGCTGGACGAGTTGCAGAGGAGGATCTGCCGTCTGGTGTTGGAGGCGCTGCTGGTGGAGCTTCAGGTGGCGATGAGTGTGGGAGGAGGTCCTGCTGAGTATGTAGGGGCATCTCCCTGGGAATGTCGGGTCTGACAGTCCCTCAAGCCTCTTCTCTGCCTGTCTGTTCCCCTCCCCAGCCTCTGTTCGTGGCTCTGCCTTCGCGCCGGTGGTTGTCGAGCTCGGAACTGCTGGGCGATGTGTGCAAGCGGACGGCGCGCTTCTGCCAGGACTTTGGGCACGTGCGGACTCCAGCGGTCCAGGTACGTTGGGGGAGAAAGGTTGCGGAGAGGGAAGTGCCCATGTGAAAGGACTCTGGACCCACCTGGTCGCTGTCCCCTAAGCTGCTGCTGGCGGAGGTGGAACGCACCGTGGTGCTGCAGTACCTACGTGCGCTGATGCAGGGCCGCCTAGTGTGCCGTGGTGCAGACGAGCGGACCCAGGCGGCTGAGCGCCTGCGGCAAGATGCCGCTCAACTTCAGGATCTTTTCCTCGGTTTGGTGAGAACTCCTTGGGGGAGTAGATGGGCGGGACCCTCATTGGTTGGGTGGGGACCTAGGACTGGAGCGAGACCACTCCCGACGTGCTCAGGGCTTGGAGGAGAGCATTCAGTGCGTGCCAGTTCTGCTCGCCCTGAGGGAGCTGCTGAGCCTTCGCGACCCCACGCTACTAGGCCTGGAGGTAGCTGGCCTGCGGCAACAATTTCCTGACGTGAGGTGCGCAGACAGGATACCGGAAGGGAGGGGGGACACGGCAGAGGCGGGTCGGGATTGACGCACCTCCGCGATGCCCCGCAGCGAGGATCACGTCTCCGCCCTCTTGGACCTGCGCGGGGACGTTTCTCGGGAGCAGCGCCTGGCCGCACTCAGCTCCCTGCTGGCCGGCCCACAACCCTCGCCCCCCGCGGGTCGCCGCGCACTCTTCAGCCTGGTGCCAGCACCTACACCCTCACTTTCCTCCTGCCTCCCCTCGGGGCCCTGTGCCTGACGTCCGGCCGCCCGCGGAATAAAGCCAAGACCCTAAGCTCCTGGACTGTGTGTGTTGTTGAGGAAGGGGGATGAAATAAAAGTATTGGCGAAGGTGTGTGTGTGTTGGGGGGAGGGGGGGCCTGCGCCGTGACACGCCTGGCTCTGGTCTTGATAGACAGGCTGCACCCCGCTTATCCGGGCATCTGCCCTGTGTATGGACTGCGTTCCCAAGAACCCGGGCTCCCGCCGCCGAATGCGGACTGTACCTCACAGAAACTTACCCAGGCGGAGAGCGTGTGCTGCACGGAGTTAACTCCCGAAGCCCTAAAACCCGCCTGGTGCAGGGGGAGGGATTCGGACACCGCCCCGCCCCTGGGCGTAATCCGTGGAGGCCCCGCCCCTCTGCCTGCCTGGTCCCACCCCCAGCCTTGTGCTCGGGCACGCGCCGCCGCGGAGTTTGACGCGCTCCGCCCGCCTCCACAAGAGCGTGCGCGCGCCCGAGAGCGTGCGTCCCCGGCGTCGGCTCTCGCGGGCTGGGCTGCCGGCTCCGGGTTTTGAGGAGCGGGAACAGCGGAGAGAAGAGGAGCGGACAGGTGGGGGCGCCCCTCGCGGACAGAACTCCCCCCACCCCGGGAGGCCGAGAATGCACGCCACGCGACCCCTCTTCTCCACCTAGGAACCCCACCTCCATTGTCCCCTGGCCCCGCCCTCCATTGGGCACACCCTTCACCCCATTCCGCGCCTTGAATTGGCTGCCCGTCACGCCCCTCCGTGATCTCCCGATCCCTATTCGTTCTTCCTCCATGTTATCCTTTCCCGAAGTTTCTTATTGGCTCAGGCCACACCCTCTCATTTGTCCCCAGACTCCTCCTTTAGTCTGGGTTCCTTCCCCGACCACCTTTCATTCATTCTGCATCAAGTACTGGGTACTTGGGACTTGGGGTGAATCAGAGACGCCCCTGCCCTTAGGGAGTTTCAGGGGATGCTGGGGGTGGAAACACCGACCTAGGCTCCAACAGTGACAGCCTAGGGCGGTCAAGTAGCCGCCTAAGCACTGGGAGCCTCCAACATGGCAGGAAGGCTTCCCGGAGGAGGTGAGGCCTAGACGGAGCCCTGAAGGATGGTTAGGAGTTTACTCCACGGAGGCACTGGGAGGGCATTCTTGGCAGGACCTGAGACATGAATGAAACTGGCATATTCTGGTCATTGCAAAGAGGTAGGTCAAATGAAAGAAGGGGGCGATGAAGGGGACTGGTCCTGGTAGAAGAACCCCAGAGACCAGTGGGTGAAGAGTACAGAAGAGCATACAGCTGATTGAGGGGAGTGAAGCCGGAGGCCTGAAATCCTACCTAGCTGCTCCCTAGGCTTGATGGAGGACAGTGGAGGGGATCAGGTCTAGAAGGGGAAACTGTTCAGGGAAGGAATGATTCCAGAGCTCTTGGTCAGATACTGTTCTGGCCAATGGGGACACAGCTGGGAACACTCCAAAGGAGCAAATAGATAACAGTGAAATATACTGTATGTCGGGTGGTGATAAGTGAACAGTAGTTTGGAGAGAGAGCAGAGGTTTTTCTATTCCACAGACATGTTAGAGAGGCTCTTCAAGTAACTTGTGTGGAAATCTGAGGCTAGTGAGAGAGTGACCCCTGCAGTTACATGAGTGGGGGGAAATCCAGCTAGGAGACGTGTTCAGCTTGAGATGTCTCTTAGACATTCAAATAAAGGTGTTGAATTGAGAACTGGCAACCCTGGTTTGAGAGTTATGGAAGAAATCCAAGCTAAGGTACTTTAAACCCACTGAGAGAATGGGATTACCTAGACACCTAGGCAGCGAGCATAAGTGGATAAAAAGAGAGAGGTTTCCATGGAAGTTTCCAAGCCAGGGACATTACACTTTTAAGTGGTGGGGAAGATCGGACTGACTGTCAAGGAGGACCAGAGCACGCAGCCAGTGAGGTAGGAGGACTGTGTTCATGTATTTGGGAAATCTAGCGGAGAATAAGTTCCCAGGGTGAAGTGATTACTGTGTCATGTGCTGCTGATCCTCAGTGACCTTGGGCACTGGAAAGTCTGATTAAAGTGAAATTGAAGAGAAAACAGGAAGGAAGGCATGGAGATGAAGTAGAGATGATTTGTAGTGTCACCATGAAATGCCACTGGAGGGAGATGCAGCGGGGTTGGAGCAGTGTGGGGTCACGTGAGGGTTTGCTTTCGTTAAGACAGAAGAATAACAGCATGTGTTTATGCTGTTGGAAAGAATCCAGTGGAGAGGAAGAGGCTGGTGATGTCAGAGACGTGGGAGCGAGAACGGGGCCCCTGAGCAGGCCAGGTTGTTCAGGACCCTGAGCTGGTGTGCACTGAGCTTGGGGGTCAGAGTTGGGGGTCGGGTGGCGGGGCTGGAGTGCCCTGATACCAGCCTTGGATGCCAACTGGAAAAGTGCCTCAGATAGGAGCAGACCAGGGACTGGCGTGGATGTCCCCAAATATCCCTCTGCTCCCCAAAAGTTAGTGCTGGTTTGAATTTGAGGAAAAAGTACAAGGGGTATGCAGGTATTCAAATTGGGTGGGAGCAAGGGGGAAGGGACTGAGAAAATGCCATCGCTAGAAGGTAGTCAGGCCCCCTCACCCACTGTCATCCAGCTCCCAGTTTGAATGGGTTGACACAGGATTACAGCCCTGAGGAGGGCCTCAGTCCCTGCTGGCAGTTCGCAGTGAGCTAAGGGGATTCCACCATCTAAGTGGCTGGCAAGACTTCCTTCTGCTTTCTCCCAGTCCAGCCTGCTTGTGGGGGTGAGAGAGCAAATACCCCACCTGTGGCAGGCTCTGGGCCCAGTAAAATCCCCGCCAGGATAGCACAGGGCACAGGAACTGCTGGTTTTCAGGCTGTACCCATTCATTCTCCATGCGCCCTTCTGTGTCCCCAGAAGCCTACAGAGTGGGGAGTTGGAGTGATCGGGCCGGATGCGACCCCCAAGACAGAATGGTGTTGGACTCAGGGACTCAGGTGTATGAACAGACACCCCCGAGCCTACCAGCCAGTCCCTCGTCCTTGAGTCCTAGGCTGAAGCCCCCAGATCGAGATGGGACAGTGGTGTACCCCTGGCCTCAGTCTTCGGCTCTGCCTCTGGCTCTGTCAGTCCCGTCAGCCCTGCAGCCCCGGCCTAAGCCACAGTCCATCTCAGAGCTGTGCTTGGGTCACCGTGGCCACATGCGTCGCAGTGAGAGCACCTGCACTGTAAATAGTACTGGCCGGCGGGGGCGTGGCTCCCAGGGCCGGACCCTGCCTGGACGGAGACAGGATCCAGGAGGAGGCACCCTGCGGCCTGCAGCCTCCCTGCCTCACATTGCTAAGACTCGAAAGGATGTGGGCCATGGTGCCAGCAAGAGCCCCTGCATGCTGGTGGCTCTGCGGCCGACCAACATGGACCGTGAGCGGGACAAGTTCTTCCAGTCGCAGTACACCTACAACCCGCAGTTCGAGTACCAGGAGCCCATGCCCACGGCTGTGCTGGAAAAGTACTGTGAAGCCTCTGGACAGTTCATCCACCAGGTAAGTCCAGCCTGCCCCCTGCACCCTGGCCCCGACCCGCCAAAAGGGCTGGCCTGACTGGCCACTGTGGCCCCGTGTGCAGGCGGTTGGGATCATTGAGGCGGTCCTGGAGAAGTTTGGCACCTATGAACACTTTGAGGCCGCGACTGGGGGCCAGCTGCTGACCAAGTGCCAGATCTGGTCCATCGTGCGCAGATACATGCAGAAGGAGGGCTGCGTTGGGGAGGTGAGCGTGCCCCGTGGCAGGGCCCTCTTCTGCATGCCCCAAGCCAGACTGCCCCGGGTGGTGCTGGGCCTGCTCCCCAGCTGGCTAGGGTGACCCCAGGGAGTCCCTGTCCCTTCCCCTGCCAGGAGGAGGTGGGAACTGGCTCTGAACAGAGGCAGAGAAGGGTGGGTGTCAGCCTGGCACATCGGTGGGGCCAGCTGCCTGCGGGTGCCAGCGCTGCTGGCTGTGGCGCGAGTCACTACGACTTGCAGGTTGTGGTGCAGCTGAGCGAGGACCTGCTGTCCCAGGCAGTGATGATGGTGGAGAACAGTCGACCCACACTGGCCATCAACCTGACTGGTGCCCGCCAATACTGGCTGGAGGGCATGCTTCGCCACGAGATAGGTCAGCATGTGGGTAGGCGGGCAGGCGGGCGGGCAGGGGTGAGAGGGGCTTGGGATGGGGTGGTGAGGGCCCCCAGTAACCCCACCCCCTCTCTTTCTTCCCCACCCTCTGGAGGACGGGCCCTTTCCCTTCGTGAGCAGCTACCTCCTCCCTCTGGCTCACAGAGGTAGGCCGGAACATGCTTGCCCACTCTCTGGGCTCACTCTCATCTCCTCCTTCTGGATATCTTTTTCTCCCTCACTTGTCTCTGATTTCCCTTGACAGTGTGGCCCGCACAGGCCACAGGGAGAACCCCGAGGGTCCCAGTAGCCCTACCAGCATCCAGGCCCTCCGGGGTGGGTGAAGACCCGATCCTGACAATGGAATTGGCTGAGGCCACACAGCTGGGTGCGGGGAGTGAAAAGGCCAGGCTGGAAAGGAGAGCAAGGGATGCTAATTGCTATTCTTTTCTTTCTGTTCTTCTTCCTCAAGAATCCTATTATTCTAGGCAAAAGCTTTTTACTGGGGATATCGGTGTGACTGTCAAAATGATATGGGCATGCAGGCGGTGGGGCTGGGAGGCAAAGGAGTTTGTGAGGGGGGTGTGTATGTGTGCTGCCTGGACAGGTGGGGGATGGGATCCTCGGTGTGCGACGCCCTTGGGCGCCACCCAGGCTGCCCGGGAGGTGGTGGGTGAGTGGCATTTATCTGAGAATTTGTATGAGCGCCTGAGTTCGTGAGCAAGAAGACAGTGAGCCACCGGCTAGAGGTCCAGCTGGGTGGAGCAGAGGCCCCTGGACTCGGCCGGCCCATGCCCGTCTCCCCCCCTCTCCCTCTCCGCAGGCACCCACTACCTGCGGGGCGTGAACAACGCGCGGCAGCCGTGGCACAACGCCGAGGGCCGGGTGCAGTACGGGCTTCGGCCTGCTAACCCCACAGAGGAGGGCCTGGCCAGCCTGCACAGCGTGCTCTTCCGCAAGCAGCCCTTCCTGTGGCGGGCGGCGCTGCTCTACTACACCATCAACCGCGCCGCGTGCATGTCCTTCCGCCAGCTCTTCCAGGACCTGGCGCGCTACGTGCAGGACGCCGACGTGCGCTGGGAGTACTGCGTGCGTGCCAAGCGCGGACAGACGGACACCTCCCTGCCTGGTGGGTGCCGGTGCTGGTGAGGGGGAGAAGTCGGGGATCGGGAGGGCTGGGGCTTGGGGTCAAGGGGCTAACAGCCCTTCGGTGCCCACAGGCTGCTTCAGCAAAGACCAGGTGTACCTGGATGGCATCGTGCGCATTCTGCGGCACCGCCAGACCATCGATTTCCCGCTGCTGACCTCGTTGGGCAAGGTGAGGGGCCAGGGGTCCTAGCCAGCTCTCCACCTCAGGCACTGTCCCCTGGCCCTCTGATTAATGCTGCAGTGAGGTCTGGGTGCCAGGCCTTTGGGTGGGGAGAGCAGGGTGGATGTGGGCATGGCAAACGAGCTGGTGTCCTGGCAGCCAAAAGTAGGTGCTTGACTCAGCCCACAAGTGCGTCAGAGGAGGCCAAGCATTCCAGGCCAAGGGAGCAGTCAGCGAGGCCGGGGCAGGAGGCGGGCCCCTGGCGCTGTGCATTTGTGCCAGGCTGAGGGATGCAGGCTTCCTCTGAAGCAGTGGGGTATTGGAGGAGCTTTAAGCAAAGGAGTGGCACAGATACTTCCTCAGAAGGTTCTCTGGATGTCCTCTGGGAGGGGGATTGGAGAAAAAGGCCAGGGTAGGGGGAGCCTCTCTGGTTACTCCTACAGAACCCATGGTCTGGCCTAACTGGGCGGTGGTGACGCAGTGGGAGATTGAGGGAGAAACTTGGGAGAGCTCTTCAAAGAGTGGAATCCTCTTAACTCACTGGCTACCGTGACTAGGAGGGTGACATTCGTCCAGTGTCGGATATGGGGAGTCTGGAGTACCTGAAGGACTTCCAAGGGCAGCTGGAGGTTTGGAGATGAGGGGAGGAGTGGGGCTGGAAAGCGGAGTGGGATGATAGGACATAGATGAAGAAGATAGGACATAGGGCCGAGGCTTGGGAGTGGATGGATCAGGAGGGGGTCCAGGAGCAAAGGGCAGCGAGCCGTTGGCAGGGAGCTGGGACCAGCTGCTTAAAGGCCTGGGTGCCCAGTCTTGTCCTCTCTGCAGGTATCCTATGAGGATGTAGACCACCTGCGGCCCCTTGGGGTGCTGGACAATACTCGGGTCCCGCACTTCATGCAGGACTTGGCCAGATACCGGCAGCAGCTGGAGCACATCATGGCCACCAACCGGCTGGATGAGGCAGAGCTGGGTCGCCTGCTGCCTGACTGATGATGCTGTTTGAGAGCTGAAGGCAGAGGCCCTTGACAGAGGACTCTACAGTGACCCCAGATATGAAGCTGACTGCTCGGCACCGCTACAGCCTGGGTGTTTCTTGTGGGGGCTGGGCAGGCAGAGTATCCCAGAAGGGAGGAGCAGCAGCATAGAGGGTTTGAGTCCTCCTTGGGGCCCCACAGCAGCTTGTCAGGCTAACTGAGCCACCCTCCTGCTTCCAGCTCTCTGTTGAGCAGAGGGGAGGCCTTGGGGGCAGGAGAGAAGCCGAGCACAGTCAGCATGGGGGGAGGTTTGGGAGTGGAGACTTGTTTTTGCATGAGATGGCTTTGGGTCCCTGTATGTTCTGTTCCCTCCCTACCCCCCACCTGGCCCTTCGGTGCTCCTTCAGCTTTCATGCTGTCTACCTCTCACTGGGTCCTGGTGTGGGGGAGTCTCTCTTCTCCTGGGGTGATTGCCTGAGCCTGGGGTCCTGGCTTTCACAAACCCAAGGGGCAGGTGTAATGGTAGCAAAGACCCAGCTGGGCTGGGATGCACTTTGCAGCATTTTGCCTCTCCCACTGGCCATGTATTTATCCCCTATTTATGTGCTCTGTTCCTTGGGGCTGGGAGGCAGCAACTTCTGCAGGTTGGTGGAAGGAAAAGGACTCCCCTGAAAGTTACCTACCCCCCTACTCTTACCCTCCCCCACCCACCCCCACAAGTCCTTTAGGCCTTGTGAGTTGAACTGAGCACCCACCTGTCCCGAGCCCCACCACCTCCTCTGCTCCTGTCTTTCCCATAACCATACAGCTGGTCTCTGGAAAGGGTTGGCATAGCCTGGCAGCAGCCAATCAAGCCTGAGGGGCAGGCCCCTACTTATTCCAGTTCTGAGCCCTCCTGGACTCCTGGTACAGAGTGGGCGGTGGTTTCCAGCTTCACCTCAGACTCAGTTCTGGGTGGTTGACCCAATCTCTTTCCCACCCTTGGCCTTACCCATCTATAAAACCCAGAAATGGGAACGCAGTTGAAAAGTTCTTATTCATTTAGGTCATGAATATGTATACACACTGGTCAGAACCATCACTGAGCTCCCAGTCCAGAGACAAACAAAAACCAGTCAATTAAAACAGTTACAATGACGTGTGCAGACTGTGTCTACCCAAGATCCCTTCGCCTTCCTGTCTTCTAGTCTCACTTCCTGAGGCTGTGAGATCTAGACCCCCTAAGTGGCGAGAAGCCCTTCTTCTGTTGCTCTCTCATCAGGCCCAGGGGTCCCCATGGAGTGCGGGCTGCCTGACATTGGTCCTTAAATGGCTCATGAAAGGAAACTGGTTATAGAGCAGGGGTCAGATTCTTGTCTGGGTCCCCTGCCTTGTCACAGTTTGTCACTCTGGGCCTAGCTATGAGGTCTCCAAGGGAACAGCTCATCAGTGAGCTGTAGACAGTATGAGGATTGTGCAGCAGGACACCAGACTGCTCCCCTCAATGGGACTCAGAGACACAGATCCACACCCTAGTTCTTGGGCAAAGAAACAGAATCTCAGGGAGAGCCCAAGCGGACCCTGCCAAGTTTATTAATGTCCAGCAGTACTGGGGCAGAGGGGGCCATGGTGGTGGCATCTGAACCCACCTGGAGGAACCCAGGTCTTACTGGGTTTGGACCGGAAGGGGCTTGTCAGCATCTTGGCATTCAGGAATCTAGAGATGATGGGAGGAAAGGGGCCAGTTAGTTGGTAAGGGCTCCCTGCCTTGCAGGCCACCACCCCACCCTCACCATGCTTGGGCAGCCTCACACCTTCAGACTCCTCCCCAGCGTCGTAGTCAGGCTCTGGCTCTGGCTCCGGTTCTGGGTCAGGCTCTGGCTCTGGCTCAGGCTCCAGTTCAGGCTCCGGTTCAGCCTCTAGCTCTGGTTCTGGATCCGCTTGGGGTTCCAGCTCTGGCTCAGCCCCTTCAGATGCCTCAGCTTCCAGCTCCGGCTCCGGCTCCTGCTCGTGCTCCTCGAGGGTTCCAGATTGTGTCGCTGAGTCCTCAGGGTCCCCTGCCTTGTCGCAGTTTGTAGCTCTGGGCAAGCCAGGGTAGGCGGCCCCTGAGCCAGCTGCCTCAGGCGTCCAGTGGCCAGGGCAAGGAGGGTCATAGCTGCGCTCTCGGTAGCCTGGAGTGGAGATGGGAGACCCGATTTACCCCTGGACGCATGGCCATCTCTTGAGAAGGCAACTCCATCCTCCCAAGCAACACACACGCGCGCACGCGGGGCCCTTGCGCTCACCAGTGCCCGCGTGCTGCCAGTCCCAGGCTGGGTCGGGCGCGCGCACGGTCCGCTGGGCGCAGCGCAGCAGCTCCTGGCAGGCGGCCTCGCCCTTGCCCTGCACCACCACCAGCAGGCGGCGCACCCTGCGCTCCGCATCGGGCAGCGCGTCCAGCGCCTCGTACTCGGGCCCGGTGAGCACGCCGCGCGCCAGCAGCGCGTCCAGGAGCAGCCCCGAGTCAGCCTGTAGCGTCTCCACCAGGCGTTTCCGCTCGCGGTCGATGGTCTCAGACGGCCGCTCCTGCGCGTTGCCCATAGTAGGGGCTGCAAGAGCGAAGGGGAGAGATGGTGGGGGCCAGAGAGCCCCTTGTCCTTGACTTCTCTCCCGGGGGCCCCAGCGAAAGCCGCCGTGGCTAAGCCCTAAATTCACCTCAACCCCGCTGGCCAAGCAGCTCCGCAGCTCAGGACTCGTCCTCCAGTGCGTCCAGCCACTTCTTTTCAGTCTCCTCAGGCTTCTCAGTAGCCCCTAGAAGTCAGCTCGCCCCTCAGATCGCTACTCTTCCTGGCCAAGCACTCCCTCCTGAGCCGGCACCACTGAAGGTCCCTGCGGTATAAGAAGCAGCTTATCCAAACTAACTTCTTGATCCCAAACATTTCCCCCACTTCAGCAAGTCCTTTCCTGTCCCTCTGCTCACCCCTTCTCTTATCCTCACTTAGCCATCTAGCTGTTCACCTCCAGCCAGACCCTGCAAAGCCTCAATATTCCTCTACATCCAGAACACAAAGAGGCAAGAGTCGTCCCTCTTATCTGCTGGAGAAAATCCAAAGCCTGGGGTCCATTTTTCCAGGACAGGTGCCCTGCCCCTACACCCCCTCACCAATACCTCTTGAGTGCTAGCTCTGACCAAGATTTGACATCATCACCCAAGACCCAACTGCCTCACCTCAGCTGTGGGAATGACTCACAACCCCGTCTAGCTTTATTTTGAAGCACCCAGAGCCCAAGCTCCTAGGAGCCACCAACAATACCTTACAGAATTTTGTTTTCCTCCATGCAGCCTCCCATTTTGACTGTCTACCGAACAGTGGATGTCTGGTAGGTTATCTACTCTGTTCATTTATTACCAGCCAAGAGCCATTGTCTCCTGGGCGGCCAGCCCTTTGGCAGTAAGGAGCACCAGGCCCTGAAAGGTCCCTCTGTCCCTGACCTTGGCTTTGACCACACAGCACCCTCCTATGGCTTCCCTTGTGTGGGGGGCCGGGGGAGTCCTACCTTCTGAGTTGGCTCTAGGTCTGGCAGAGTGGATTGGGTCCTAGCCACCATCTTACCTCTCTGATCTCCCTCTGCTGCCTCCTTGGTCACTTCAGTCATCCCGCCCTTATTGAAGCACCAGCCCTTCCCTCTGGCCACTGAGCAGAGAGCAAGGCTTCTCTCCCCTCGTGTTGCACCTGTGTCAGGTGCTGCTCCTCTATCTCAGAGAGCTTCAGCTCACCAAGGGAGAGCACCCACACTCCTCTTATGTCCTCCGCCAGTCTCTGAGTACCTCCTGCCTTCCCAGCAGAGAGGCTTTGGCAACTCTCTGGGGATAAGATTTATTGTCCCCTTTTTACAGATGAGGGGATGGGATCAGAGAGACTAAGTGGCAGAACTGGAATGTGACTTGTTCTAGCTTGGACTCGGGAAAGCAGAATGTCATCCCCATCCCCTGCCCCCTGATGCCCATTAGGCTGTCTAACCTGCTGCTCTAGCTTCCTCCCACCCTTTACCTCCCCCAATACCCCCAAGGCAGTCAGGCTATCCCCACTTCCCTCCACCACTCGGTGGGTGGAGAACTCCCCAAACCCCTGGGTCTTGGCAGTTCCCTAAGCCTGGGATATTCTTCCCTCCATGCTGTGGACCTGTTCTCAGGACTCAACCAATGCCTGTGTCCCAAAGACTGGCTCCTGCTCCTGTTACCCCCAGTGAACACATGTCAGGTACAAATGCACCTCTGCCCTCCTCAGCCAGACTTCTAAAGTCTCCCCTGCCCACTCTCCCCCAGCCCCCACCTCATTCACTGGGATGCCGGGAAGAGAGAGAGAATATACTCTGGGCGGACCAGATCGACTCCTCTCTCACTCCTCCCCAGTTATTTTCATGTGAGCCTCCTCTTCCCATTATTCCAAGCCCTGCCCTTCGTTCTGGCTGGGGGTGCAGACACCCCAGCTAGTCTGGGGCCACTCTCTGAGACTCTTCATGCTCAGAAGCGAATACCAAGGTTAAGTCGGGCCAGTCCTTCACTGATCCCAAGGTAGATCCTTTAGGAAGCACCTCGCGGCTCCAGGTGCTAAGTGGAGAAGGGGGTCTCGGCTGGCTCCCCACCTCGCTGCGTGGGCATTTTTGCTAGGGAGCGAGGGTTGCGCGTGTGCTAGCCCCAGACTGCTCTAAGCCCCCCGCTAGCTAACCTCAGAGTCCTACGGAGGGGCGGGGCTCACAGACCTCTTCGGCGCTCAGCTGGTGCTGGTGGGACGCGGATTCCGCCCAATGTTTCTCGCCCCTCCCCCAGCAGCGTGGGGTGGGGCTCCCGATCCCGTACACCCTAGGCTGCCCCACTCACGGGCGAACCTCCGCAGAGCAGGAGATGACGAGGCAGAAAGGGCTGGGCGTGGTGGGGGTGAGGGCAGCAGCTGCGGCGGAGCAGAGCGGGGCGGGGCGGCCGGGGCTGCCGGGAATCGGGAGCGGGTGGGGGCGAGGGGGCATTCTTTTCGGGACACGGGGCCCGCGGCCAGCGCGGCCGCGGACCGCGGGGCTTCGGAAGCGCTACACAATTTTTACTCTCCCTCTCTATACCCCTCCCGCCGCGGGGTGACGGGTGAGTCAGGGAGGGGGCAGCTCATCTTGCTCCCCAAGTACCCAGTGCCTACTCTGGGCCTGGCAATTCCCAGGTGCTTTCCGCCTATTCTATGGTGGATCCCTCTTGCCTGTCACGGGTGAGGCTCAGAGAAGGGGACCAGCTTACCCAGGTTCACAAAGTGGATGCTTTGCAGAACTGTGACCCAAAAGTCCCCTTCTCCTGGAGGTTGTGTTGGCTACACGCTGCCTTGGATGCAGCCAGGAGCATCAGGCAGGGCCCTAGCAGAACTGGGAGATGGTGACCCAAACACCTACACTCTCCAAAGGTTCCTTCATTAAGGCTCAAGGACCCCAATGTTTCCACGAATGTAAAGTCACTCCCCACACCCATCAGAAACCATGGTCTCTCCTTGATAGGTAAAGAAAAAAAAAGACCAGAGACATAGAAGAAAGAAAGAAAAAAAGAAAAGAAAAGAAAAGCAGTTTATGTGCAGGGCTTGGTAATGGAGAGGGACAGCCAAGTAGCTGGGACTTCGCGAAGCCTCCTCCAGGGGGCGCCAGAAAGCGGAGAAGGGCGAGCTGAGGCAGGCCAGAGTCCCTCAGCCTGCTGGCCTCTGAGAGAGAGCTGGGCCAGGTAGGAGGCAGGCTCATGGGGGTGCTGTAAATGACTTAAAGCTCCAGGAGGCCAAAGGCTGGGCCTCCGAAAGCTGCTTGGACATCCAGCAGGGGTGGTGTCCCGGGTGTGGAGTCCTTCCCTAGGAAGAAGAAAGTGTTCTCTCCTTTTGGGGAAGGAGAAGGAGAGCCTCACCAGCCATCCTCTGGTGAGTTAGGATGCAATGTCCTTTCTCAAACTCCCCAGCTCTCACCAACGGGTAGGTGCAGGGCAGCCTGCACTCAGGGGCTTTCCCTCCAAACACAAACATCCCAGCCTACCTGGTAAAGGTAGCTCCAGCAATCTGGGCCCACTCCCCCACCCGCCCCCCCACTACCATTACCTAGAGAAGTCAACCCTTTGATTGCCAACTCAGTCTCCTCATCCCTCTCTGGAACCAAGGGTTGCATCTGCATGTGAGAACCCCAGGAACCAGCTGGAGAGGAGAACTGGGGAGCCTAGAAGAATCGGGGTTCTGGCTGAGAGAACAGCCATGAACCAAAAGGTTCCCTTCAGCAACCCCTAGATCCACCCCTCCCCCTCCCATCTTACCAGGGACAACTCAGTGTCCAGGGTGCATTCTCGCCCTTGGAGGCTGGGGCCCAGCACCTGGGGAAGCTCCAGGTCAGTGGTACCCAGGCTGTACAGGCAACTGAACCCCATCAGGCCTGTGACCCCACCCATCGAAGGTGTACTCACATCTAGGGGTCCTGCAGGTGCCACACTTTCAGGGGGAGCCAGAAGCAACATGTGAGGCAGCAGACTCTCTGGGCTCTGCTCTCTGCTCTCCAGGCCCAGCCATCCCCTGTGCACAGAGAACTGCAGTTGGCCCGTGGTGTTCAATCCCCACCCCACTAGGTTTCCAAGCAACCTGGTACCCCAGGACCTAAATCTGAGTACATATAGAAGCCACTAGGAGACCCCCATAGAGAGGGGCACACAGAGATCCTCCTACCTCCAACCTTCAGCCTGAGGTTTGGATTATGGGGCTGAATCTTGGGATCCCAGCAATTGTCTAATGGTTCTTAAACTATTGTATACTTTACAGTCTCCTCAATGATCTCATTTAAAGTGTAGATTGGGGGGTCCTCCCTGGTGGTACAGGGGTTAAAGACTCAGCACTATGAAACAGTCTGCAGCCACTGCAGTTCAATCCCCAGCCAGGGAGGTGACTCAGTGCAGCAGACCTCTCCTGTCTCTCCCACTGCTTCCCTCAGCTATGTGTTTCAATTGATTTGCCTGTTCTGCTCCTCACTGCCTCTGGTGAAACCTCTCACCAGCTCCCCCATACCTCTGGCCTATACCCCAGTTCTTGTATGCATAAATAAGTAAAATGAACCTTAAAAAAAAAAAAACACCCTGAGCCCTACCCCAGAGGTTTTACCACTTTGGGGGTGACTCTGTGCTGGTACTCCTGAGAGCACCTGGAGAAATCAGAAAAGATCAAGAGCCAGACAAGGCTGGAATGTTCATGGGCTCCTTCAAGATGGTCTTTCTGCAAGTGTGGCCCCAGTCAGGAAGAGGCTCTTTGCTCACCTCTCAGGGACCTCCCTGGCACTCCTTGGCTCGGGCTCTTGGGCATTCCCGGGTCCCTCAGGGCTGAAGCTCTCTTTCCCTTCCAGGATGGCCTGCACCACAGCCACAGGCAGCAGTGGGGGTGCTGTCGCATAGAAGTCACACTCCTTTGGGGCCAGAGCCAGCCCGGCCTGGCCTTCCAGCCCTGGGCTAGCTGGTTCTTCCTTGAGCAGTGCCAGGCCCTTCTCCCTGCACCAGAGAAAAGCTTCAACCAACCCTAGCACTGAACTCTCCTCTCCCCTGCGGACACCTGGGCTGCCAGGCCCACCCCCAGAGGCAGCCCCTGTCCCTCTTACCCCCTACCAGCACTGCAGGGAAAAAGCCTGGTCCCTTCAGGTGATGGAGAGCCTTGCAGGATGTCAGAGATGATGGGGCTTCTTGCCCTGTAAGGACTGCTGAGGCCCAGGCTGGTCTCTGGGAGGGGCTATAAGTAGAAGGCTAAGACCAGACTTCCACCTTGAGCCACAGGAAGAGCCAGACCCAAGCAGTCCCCACAGGGACCAGGTTTAAGGGGGAAGGTTGAGGAGGGACTCATTCAGGCTCTGGCAGGGGTAAAGGAATGCTTCTGGTTGTTTTCTGGAATGGGGGAAAGAAATAGGCTCTTTCATAAACCCAGGTGTGCCCTCGGGAAGGGAGAAAAAGCCAAAACCTACCAACTGTATAAAGCAGGAATCCTGCAGGAGGGCTTCAGGTAGGGGGCAGGTACTGAATTTGGCCGGTGTTGGGCATGAACTCCCCTCATCCAGCATCAGGGACCTGTGCAGGGGCAGGGCAGGTCCATCCCCCAGGCCCTCCCTCGCCTGCACCTCCCTACCAAGGCCAGCAGCCAAGTCAGCAGAGCTGAGGCCTGTTGCCAGGGCATCAGTCATGTGCTGGAGGCAGAAGTGCTCCCAACCAGAGGGGGCGGGGAGGGGGACCCTTGGTGGGTGGAAGGGGACAGAGGGGGACAGTTTGAGTCCCAGACCTGTGCTTTGGAATGCTCTGTGCTGGGGGGAGGGGCTACTGGGGTGGAAATCTGGAGGTAGGTCCTGGACAAGGGGTTCTGGGAGTGAGGGTACATGGTAGAGTAAGGGAAGGGAGAGAGTTTGAGAAGGAGCTTGGGAAGGTGGCCTGGAGGCAAGGAAGACTAGGGTGAAGGCGAAAGAATGAGGATTCCTGGTGAAGTTTCTGACATGTTTCTGCAGAGGGTCTCTGGCAGAGAGGTTCTGGGGGGTGGAGTGAGGAGTTTCCCTGACTTTCTCACTCACAGCTTTCTCTTAACGCCCGTGCTGCTGGACACAGCCTGAAGTGGCCCAAAGAGGCACTGGATTAGCTGAAAAGGAAGCAAAGGGTTAATAACCATGCATGCTCTGGACTTGCTCCTGCCCCATGTGGCACTTGGTGGGGAGGGTTTGGCAGGTGGGAGGAGGGGGTGTTCAGGAGTGGGAGAGATACCTGGGTAGGGGGGCCCAATACCTTGCTGATGACCTTGTGCTGTTGGCTGTGGCACTGCTGCAGGGTCACTACCTCCCTCCATAATATCTCGTTCTGCCTGGCAGAAGGGGTGGGCAGGAGGGGAGCTCCGTCACCACCCCCAGAGAATGGTAGGCTGTGACCCCACCCCCTCTCTTCACAGGGAAGGAGTCCCTACGGAGGGAGGGGATAATGGGGGAGGGAGGGAGAAGGGGCTGCCCAGATTGGTTTCCTCTGCCGATCACCCTTCCCATCCCCCACTCTGGGCGCACCGCCTGAGCTCCCTCAGCCGGGCCTCGGCACTCTCCTGCACTCCCTGCAAAGCTTGCACTTCGCCCAGAAACCGGCTCAGGTCCTCGGGGCGCCAGCGGCCGTCCTCACTGCGCAGCGAGGGCACCTGCAGACAGGAGGGACAACACCGTTGCAACTGGGGCGTGTAGAATGTCCCCACAGCTTCCCCAACCTTGGGGTTCCCGCAGGCGCCCCCCCACCTTGCGCCGCACACGTTCCAGCAGCTGTTCATGGCCACGCACAAAACTCGGGTGCTGGAACTCCACATGGTCGCGCTCCGGCCTGAGCAGGCCGCCCTGCTCCATGCTCACCACCTTCCGAAAACCGTCTAGGGGTGGCGTCAGGGCACGTGTCAGTCGTGCCAGCGCACCAGGTCACTGATACTCACTTCTCCCCCCTCCTCCACTCACACATGTTGAGTTGCCTCACGAAGCTTGCCATGTTGCTGTGCTTGAAGTATTGGGGCAGCACTTCCTTGGCGAAGCAGCTCTGGTCGCTGACAAGAAAGCTGGTCCCGCTCTGCCAGGAACACGGCCAGC